CTCTGCTCCTGGCTGGGGGTGGGACGGGCCCCTGTGCCAGGCCCTGCCCCGACAGACCCCTGGGCCTCAGGAGCTGCTGGCCCAGGTGGGGTGCTGTCGGTGGGCTTTAGGGAAGACCAATGAATCCTCTCACCTACGACATATGGTTTTGCTGTGTAGTTTGCTGCTGTTGCTGCTGCTGAATGAGCAATTGCTGCTGTTGCCGGCGCCGGGCTGTTCTCAGCTTTTCGAAGCGAGCCTCCATCTCCTCCAGCACCTTGGGAGTGTAGCGTACCACCAGCTTGACGCTGTCCTTAGCCGCCTTCAGCAGCTCCACCGCCTTCTCGTGGTGTTCTCCTTCCACGCTCTGGGAGCAGAGAGAACAGATTTAATAATGATCTAGAGCTCTGTCCTCTTTTTCGTACGGAAAGGCTGTCAGGGTTTTAGGAATTTTCCACACCTTACATTTTTCAAGGGACCATTAAGGGTAAGTGTTAAGTAAGATTTATGCACTGCTGGGAATGCATTCATTTTCATATTTTAAATAACACAAATCTGTTTTAGGTTGCATTACAAACCTAATTTCTGATCTGTGTGAAAAGGAGAGGAAATACTCAACAAGCTTTATGCAAACAAAAATAATGTTAAAAAACCCCAAACCCCGCAGTAAAAACCCAAACAGTCTGTTTGCAAGGTACAAAAATAAATATTTAAATGTTGGTAACAAATGAGGAAATTGCACGTTTGAAATCGCAATTCCTTTCTTACACCCTGGCCCTCTTTGGATCCCGCAGGGAACAACATGTGTTGATTAAGCAGTTGCTGAGCTGCAGGCGAAGGAGCATGCCTGCTGCTCCCGGGGACGAGCCGCGTCTTAGTTAATAGCATTGCTCACACGTTTAACATTTGTGTGATACAGGTTCTCTATTGGAAATAAACTAGTCTTTATCCAGTTAGTTGTAAGCTATCAAACGCTAACATCTGAAACATTGCAAGTTCTTGCTGAAGGAATATATATTTTCCTTCCCTTTCTGGAAAATGGTTTACAGTAAGATGATATCTGCTGTGAAATCAAAAGTATTCCCAAAGGGGCTCAAGCTCTGATTTCTATGCTAACATTGTTTGAAACAGTAAATTTCCAAAAGGGGGAGGTGACTCCGCTGTGAAAAGAGTATTTAATTTCTACCATTAAGTGGACTGACCGGAGTGCTTTTCAGGCATGTGGATTGTTCCACACCTTAAGAGAAAGGGAGAAATTTTCTAATGGTGTATGATTGCCCATGTATGTCATGGATATATTCCAACAAACAAAAGTATCTCTGCACGGAAAAAAAAGATCGCACAGAGATCTTCACATGGATTTTAGACCATTTAAAAAATAAGTAATTTTCTTCCCACAAAAAATAAATCAAAGTTTTACTACATGCTGTGTTTTAAAATTCTTATGTATACCATGCTATTTAAAATGAAACTATGCCCATAGGCCTCCAAAGAGAAGCAGCAGCATTCAAAATATTTGAAGTTCAATTCATGCTAAAAGAATAACTAAGCATTGTTATAGCAACTGTCAGAAGCAAATTCTTTCTGTTTTCACCTCTCCTATTTGACTGAATGGCATTGTGCAAGAACAGTGAATAAGAATTACTTCTGCTGTGGCACACTATGAGCTAGAAATAATGATTTAAAAGTTTCAAAAAGCAGACACAATACACTTCTACATAAGTAATAGAAACAACACAATTCAAGCTTATCGCCTTGCTATTTATCTTTCTTCTCCTGTTAAATATTCTTCAACATATTAATACAAATAATTATTTCGTGTCTGGGTCAACTGACTGGACTCAATAGTTTCTGCAGAAACGATAAGATGCTTCTAAAATATTAATGCAACTTAGAGAAATAATGAATGTCATTTCAGGTGCTGAAATTATTACCAGAAACAGAGACAACCTTGAAGTAAAGAGACATTTGATTGTTGAAATAAATGACTTCATGTTTTTGAGCTGTATGTTGATGAAATCCCTCCAGTAGGTCTCCTATTCAAAGATCTTCAAGAAAATTCATGATCTGTGGTGACCGGATTTATAGAAATTGTAATTGGGACAAATCTGCTGAACAAGCACGGCTACCCAAAAGTAGTTTGGAGAAAAGAGTTTCCTTACAAATATTTGAAAAAGAGGAAATTGTTGTTGCATAAGAAACAGTGAATGTATCTAATGCTCCAAAGAGAGCTAAAATAAAAAGCTATAGATGCACAGGGTGTTTTGTGAAATTGCTTTAATGAACAAGTCACAGATACAAATTAAAACCTCTTCCCCATGTCCCCTACCCCATAACTGCTCAATGTTAGAAGAGGGGATCACAACTAACACATACTGTAACTAGCTATCTTTTATAACTCATTGCTTTGTGACTGGCTTTGATACTGGCTTTTGTAAACACAGTGCTCACCTTAAGAGGAACTGTATAAAATTTGGCATTTTGGGATGGGCATTTGGGCATATTTCATTTTTTGCTTGTGAATCATGGTCAGTATGACGTTGCATGGGCATTCAGAGGAAACGACAGTGTACACAGTGTTGTGATCAGTTTTGCTGTGGAACAGTATGAACTTAGAACAGGCTATGAACGAAAATTGTAAGCTCCCAAGCTACATGAAGTAGCTAAAATATTCATTTGCTTTCAATGAGTTGGATAGTTCTAACTGACCTCGATAAGCAATTGTGATTGTATCTGTTCTGTCGGGGAATAACAAGATGGTGTACTTTAATACTTCATACAACTTAGTAAACTGTATTTAATTCATGATTGCCTGTTTTCTTTCCCGTTTGCCTCCGGCCTTGTTCTTCCAGTTTAAAGCCAGTATTTTCTAATTAGAAACAAAGGGTTTGACTTTGTTGCTATCCAGGTCAATGGAAAACTCCCATTGACTTGAATAGTAATGAAACAGAATTAAGCCTAAAGCTCTGAACCATAACCGAAGAGGGGAAAATAACAAAGGCAAAGTAAAAGATAGTGCTGCTAAATACGAATCCTACTCTTCAAATGTACCTAACTCAGGTCTTAACAACTACAGTTTTCAGTTGCTATTAATACGTTGCTATACTTGCTCTTAACGTCTTCATTGTTGCTTGCACTCGTATTTCCAAGGCATTACAAATGCTTCACCTGCATAGCGGTAGCTGCACAACTTAAATAGCCGAGCCCCTTGGAGTAGGGAAAAGAGCTTATACCAGAAAAGGAAGTATATTTTTATTTAATACGTAATTTTTGATTACATTTTTTATTTATGTCTGTATTTCTCTTATTGTATTGGCAGACTGCACCAAAAAAAGGGATGCAAAATACTGTAGAGACAAGAACAGCTGAAAGAACTGCAGATATGGTGTGGGGAAACACCAACCATTACTGTATCCAGGCTCACAGACTTGTCATAAATATAAAAGAAAAAAATCCCACTGTCTTGCAGACAAAAAAAAGAATCTGATTGTTACCCCACAAGTTGAGAAACTGAGAAGAATATTTCTATTAGATATCTGTAAGCAAATGCTTGGCTGAGAAATTAGCCATTATAAACCTATTTTGTATCCCTTTCTGTATCTGACTCACACCACATATCTGACAAATGCAGAATCTTTGACACATACGAACAGCCACCAGCAAGTGCCTTTGCTGAGCCATCTGCAGGGCTTACTGCTTTTAATTTCCTTTACTTTTAGGGGGTGTGGGACAAAAGCATGTAACAAAATCCCCAGCATAATGAGAAAACACTTTTTTTAACATCCGGTGAAACAGCTCAAGGAACAGTCATCCCAGTCATGCTGGGATAACAAATCTGGATTCTGAACACACAGCTCTAATTTTATGTTGATAATTATAAAGTTGGATAACCACCAAATTCTGAGCACAAACAAGTTACAGATATTACATTTTATGTTCCACTGCTGAGCCGTCTGTTCTATTGTACCTACTGTATATTATTTGCTTTTCTCCAGCTAAATTGAGAGAAGCACAGAGTGAACTAGTCCCAGTGAACAATGTTAAATTTAGACCTTTTTCCTCCTGTCTCAAGCTGTCTGCAAACAAATTACTGCTTCTATAATTTTTGCCTTTTTACGAGTTATATTGTATGGGCTTAATTCAGCCCAAGATTGGTGTATGAACAGTTGCTCATAGGCATTATTTCAAGTATGCAACTGCAATTCAAACTTTAAATTCTGTTGTTTAGAATCTGAATGTGAAAATATTTCTGTTGCATCTTGGAATCAACTTTCTCATGTGCCTACATGCACTTGGGAATTTTATATTGTGTTTTTTTGCCACATTAGCCTAATGTATATTCTAGAGCACATTAATGAAATTTTTTGCACAAAGCATCATGAAATAGAGGTGACAACAGTCAAATTCAATATATCTTGACATCTGAAGGTTCGCCACTTTCCTCCCCGGTATTTGCCTAGACACTGTTGACAGTAAAAGGATTTTTCAAGAATCATCCATCAATTAGTGAATATAAACTCTTTTTATCTGTCTTTTTATTCATCTGAACAACAACAACAAAATTATTTGATCTACTCCCAATCAGTGAAGTTCGGGCAATTTACTTATTAAATGTTCAGCTGATTTCTTTTTCCCTGAGACTAAATAATCTTTTCAGTGGGTTTTCTTTTTTTGTTTTGTATCTTTTCTTTCTCATTGTGTACAGGGGCGAGTAAGTTTCCAGACCTATTATTTCTCTTTTCAGAACATGATGGTTGATAGAAGTAGTGGTAAAAAGTCTGCCTGAAGTGTTGCACTGATATTTTGTTTCAAGAGAAAGGGAATAGCTATTGTTGAGAGAAACAGATGACAACATGAAAGCATGTAGAAAACAGCATTTTTTTCATTCTTTATGGGCTTGCAACAAAGAGGAAATTTAAGTTGGAAAGTCTTATGACTGGATTCAGGAATTGCTCCTACATGCCTTTGGTGTATTTAAATACAACGTTTAGATGGAGGTTTTGCACGAAAAAGGATTATGTTTTCATTAAGAGAAGTGTAGGGTTATGTGAATGAGTATGCTTACCCTTTCAGTACTTCACATTCCCTTGTAAAAGAGAACAAAAAGCAAAATGAAAGGCAGAATTTGACCCATATCATGTAGTTAGAGCCTTATTTTTCCTCTCCATTCCAAGAGCCCTTTCTATTTTTACCTCCATACTGACATTCACAGTAAAACTACTGAAAAACACTCCACCCTGAAGTATTGACTTACTTACATGAAAAATGACTATGTAACAAATGTACCTTTTTACTGAAAATATGTGCTCCCTGTATGTGTTCGTTTGTACAGCTGATTTCTCTGATGAAGATATCACAACTGGATGAATGTCACTGACAGAAGTCTGGAATGTACCTTCCATTGCAAATCAGCACCAAATGTGCTTACCAAATTTCTTTTGGTTTTATGTGTTCAAATGCTCTGAAGGTCACAAGGCTGCTCAAGTGCCACTGAGGCATTACTGTGCTTGGAAAGGGCTGTGCGCCTCAGAAGCTATGAAGTGCAAGAACGACAAAGCCTGTTATTACGCTTTTACTGCAAAAGGAATTTGCAGAATTATCAACTAAGAAAGACATAGCTTCCTTGTAAATGAAGGACGTGGTGTGGGTTTAAAATGAAGCTCTTCAAGCACCCTCCACTACAACAGAAATTGTAGTGGCACAAAGTTGTCGATGCAGCTTTGCCTCACTGCACCGCAAATGCACACTGAAGGTCTCTCACAGAGCTGCTACTTCTTGTTTCATATGGCTGCATTTTAAATCACGGTATTAGAACAGCTGTGAAAAATGCAAATCCGGATGAAAAATGAAAGCTCTATCAAATTTCCACATACCACTCCATTAACCGAAAGCAGCTGGTCCCCCCGTTTGAGCCCTCCATGCCTTTCTGCCACTCCTCCAGGAATAATGCGAGAAATGTAAATAGGTGAATTTTGTTCCTTTCCTCCCATGACATTAAAGCCCAGGCCTTCATCAGTCTTTGGCAGCTCCACCACTCGCGGGTGTGAATGGCCTTCACTTGCAGCAAAAGCAGCAACTGTTGCCTGGAAGAAAAACACGAGTGATTTGGCTGTGTAGGGAGAACACTGATACACACTCTGTTGTTCATTTGCAGGAAGAATTCATTCCTGTGAAAACATTTCAGTATCTTACTCTGACTTTTTCTGATTATCTGAAAGCATTTTAAAAATATTAAGTTCCATGCCAATGCTTTTAAAATAAAGGAATAAGCAGAGAAATAGAGAGTTTAGGTGACTTGTCAAAGATAACGCAGAAAGTTAGCAGCAGAGCCAGAAGTAGGCACCGGGAAGCCTGACTGCGTGGTGGTGAATATTTATGATCACTAGTGCATTTCTTCTTTGCCTTGTCACAGGGAGAAAATTTATTACTGTGGGATAAGATAATGTGACCTCTACTGTGTTCCTAGTTGAAGTAAAGTGGATAAACTGAATTGTTAACTCTCTGCTCTGCTTTCAGAGGTACGGAATTATTTATTTTATTCTTTGGGCACAGAAAAATATCCTAAAAGGATATTCTTATTTTAGAAAGTTTAATTTATAATCTTTATGAAATCTTGCAAACTAAATAACTCCTGGAACAGGAATATGAGTTTTTATAATATAATTGGATCAAAGCTTTTATTGAAAAAATAAATCTTAAGACAATGGATTTATAAATCAATTAGAAAAATCCCAGATTGTTAGCCTTACTCTAGCAAAAAACCCCCACGTAACAAACTGTAAAGCTTGCATCCAGAAAAATACGACATCTTATACTTCATTTTTCACTACAAATATTTTCCTACTTATAGATCTTAGTAAATCATTACATAAACATTAAGAAAATCTTTTATCCTTTTCAATGTGTTTGTAGTCCAAACTGCTCGAACAATTCTGCATTACGCTATGTTTTTTGAGCATCCTAATAATGCTTATGCTTAATAGAAGCTAGTGGATGATGTGACATAATGGATCATTCTCAGTTACATGTTTTTGCACATGCAGACCTTGTCATCATGCATACATTTTATGTCAGACATGAATGCACTAGGAGAATGCAATACAGACAGCCCAGAAATAACCAGGAAATATTGCGATATTGAAACATTGCTCTGTAACCCTGCTGTTCTATATGAATAAGAAATGAGAATGGCAAACACTAATAGGATTTCTCCCCATTTACTATACAACACAGCAATAATTTCTATGTTTAGTTGCAGTGTAGACAAATCAGGATTTCATATATACATTTCTCTATATAGAACCATAGACCTTACTGATTTACATTGTCCATTAACTTTCAATTAGAAGAAGGTTAAAATCAGAAGAACAGCCTACAGAAAAGAACGTTCTATTTAGTAAGGAAAATACACTGCAATTTAGCATATATTAGGTTATTTGCTGGCTACTATACAGCTTCTCTAAGATACTGTAGAAATCATTGTGTAACACACTCCCAATCTTCATCTTCTGAATAGCTTTAAATTCAAATCTCTTAACATAAATACATAACGGTAAGATCTTAGTTCCATTAAGATTTCAGAGAGTTTTGTCACTGACTTCACAGGAGTGGGACCGTAAAGAAATATCTCTAAAAAAGATCTATGGCTTTTGCAGGTTTACCTGTTTTGCACAGTATCTGCTATACCACCCAGAAGATAGTGTTGAGTACAAAATGATAATGGGAAAAAGAAAGCCATGGTGGATCTCCCTGTTTGGAAGCATCTATTTTTGTGCATGTTATGAAAATACAGAGCATATTTCATACTGGCACATAGAATGGGTTCTTCCATGGTTGTGTGAATTCCCTTAGAAAATTATCATTTTAGTAGTAGCAGTAATGTAGCTGTCATGGTCTAAGGATATGAGAAAGGCAGGTCCACATGGACAAAGAGACAATATATTTTATTAAAACAGGTAATGCATCAGAAAAATGGGCTTGCATTTGGCTGTGGAGTCTCTTGGTCAGGCCATTTTTGTCACTGCTCATCCTTACCACTTGCTCAGTACCTACAGATCCCATTAGTTAAAAGTGGAATTTTGACTGTTTAGTTTCTATCTCCCAAATCATTGTGTCCTCTCTGGATGAGCTGTATGGGAAAATAGTCCATTAAAATATTGGTTGTTGCAGGCAGACTTCTACAGAATGAACCAGTAGATTTGCTTTTGCAAAGCAACTTTTCAAAAAGCATCAAATTCCATAAAATCATTCTCTTTTCTTAAGCTACAGAAGCAGCATAAAGGTTGAAATTTTCCATTATGATTGTTACCTGGGAAGTAGCACTGGTTCTAGACTCTGGGCTGCCACTGATGTCTAAATTTTCTTACAGTGTACACACGAATACCTGAAACACACACGCGCACAGTCAATTACTAGGTCACTTTGGTAACACGTATTTAAACAGTTGCACGTATCCTACCTTTGCAGTGGCCCTGGCTCGGAATTCGGGGCAGCCATTAACAGTTATGGTTTCATGCATGTATTGATACACCTAAAATGTTCATGAAAATAAAATGAAATTAATTAGCAAATTAATGAAATTAATTTGCAAAAAGCAAAACAAGGACTTTATATTAACCCAGACAGGACAGTCCCTTTCCCTCATAAGACTATGTTTCATTAATGCTGTATTCATGCAATCACATAGTCAAGTGTCTGCTAAACTTCTGCATGCTTAAGTTTACAGAGAACATCAATCTGTGTTTCTCATGACACTTTGCAAACTTAACTGTACATCTTCCAATGTGATTCCCTTTCCATCTCTAGCATATCATTTCCCAAAACCAGGACAGTTACGTTCTATGTTATCAAAAATTGGTGTCCCAGGCAACTGATTTGAATGCAAATGATCTGAACTGATTTGAGTGGTGTCTTAGCCTCCAACAATGGCTTCTTTGTTCTCTGAACATTCCTATGAACTAAAAATTTAGGAGACTGATGTTAAAAAGATATGTAAGTTGCTCAGCATACAGATACTGAAGAATGGAAGTGAAAGTAAAATTTTGGAGAAAGGTCACGGTACTGGTTTCCATCAACCACAGCTAGGAATGGCAAAAGGGCTGGCAGCCTGATAGGTCAGACATGGACAATGTGTCAGATTACCCTTCAAAAAGGAATTGCACATTCACATAAATGGCATAAAATCAACATTGCCAATATGTAGAACTTTCTGTCTGTTGTTTTTTTCTGGTATATACTCTTGGCCCACTTTCTCTGGTCCTTAACTCTCCCTTTTAAACATCTTCAGTAAGGAGAAAGGAGAAGGCTTTCTCACACTGCCTTTGTTCTCTAGAATCATAGAATCATAGAATCATTAAGGTTGGAAAAGACCTCTAAGATCATTGAGTCCAACTGTCAACCCAACACCACCATGTCCACTAAACCATGGCCCTAAGCGCTGCATCTACACATCTTTTAAATACCTCCAGGGATGGTGACTCAACCA